GTGCCCCTCAACTGCAAGTCTGTTGGACTTGGGGACTGAGCTCACTCCTGGGTGTGTGAGCTCCCACCTTGGAGCAGTGGGTGCTGGAGAAAGCAGTGCCATCCCTATGACCTATGGGTGACACAGAAAGGACAGTGATTAAAGAAAAAGTAAATTAAAAATCCATGGTTCCAGCGTGAACTTGGCCCTGGTGATCCCTCAGTCATGTCATATGCTGCAGTGAGTGCTGCCAGCATTTCTTTTATTTCGTAGGTTTTTTAAAGTGAAACTTCTGACAGGGCCAAAGGCAATAAATTGTGGCCACTCCAGGCACACAGAATCACTTCACAGGACCTGAGCTACACCAGCTGCTTGACTACTGGTTTACCTTTTTTCTTCCCATGTTTCCATCACTAGATGGAGAGCAGTCTGTGCAGCGTGGGATCATATCTCTCACTTTCAGTCATTCTGACTTCCTCAGATGAAAGGCACTATATAAATATGACTATTCTTAGTCTGTTTAGGTTTGCTTCAGTGCTAACACTTGCTTTAGTCTGTGCATGGGCCTGATGTTAAAAAGATAAACAAAAGATTGCTGGTGTGAACTTGGCATACCCCTGCTGAAGGGGTAAGTTTTATTGCTCTGGAATTTTCCAGCTAACACTGAGGTAACAACTTCAAAAGCTTGTCACGTAGTGCTATTTTGTGGCAATCAGTTCCTAGGAGTGGTTTTCCAATGCTAATAGATTTCTAGCCAACAGTTGTTGCTGCTGAGTAATTTTTAGGCAGCCAGTGTATTTCCCCACCTCAGAGCTGTTTGAGGAAGAAAACAGCAAAAGTTTGCCATGAAGTAGGAAGAGGAAAATCATACACTGTTGTCAAATTGGGAAATTAAATTGGTGTGCGGCAGCCAAGGTCTCCTCATGCCCTGACTCCATAAAGGGATTGCCCAAGCTTCTGCCATTGGCCACTGTGGTGCTGAGCAGGTCCCTGCAGGCTCTCGTGGCAGCTGGCAGTCACCTCAGGAGGTCTGTACGCAGCGCTGGTGGCCTCTCTGTTTTCTCCCGCTGGACTTGCCAGTTCCTCAAAGGACGCTGCCTCTGCACAGCTCCTCTCCTTGTGTTTGGGTGGGAGGATGGAGAGGGCATCCAAGACTCGTAAGAAGAAATGAGTCTAAAGTGGAAAATGTTCTGAATGTGAGGAGGAAAACAGCTGCTAAACCATTTTGCTGAGAGAGGTGGAAGTCTGTACCTTTGAGTGGCCTCGGTTTATCTCTCACATGGGTTTTAGACAGGCTGGTGTTGGAGGGTAAGCCCTGAGTGAAATATCACTTCGAGAAGCACCCAGTGCTGTGAGGTTTGGGAGGATATTTCTCTGAAGATCAGTTTCAGTCTTTTAGCCCTGTTCAACTTCTTTTTGTGATCTGGAGGCTGCCCTAGGCAGTGAGGTGGCTGCTCTTCTCACTTTGAAGATTTCTGAACACTTGAAATTACCTGATATGACAAACTGCCAGTGACATTTATCAGGCTTTCTTTGTGGTCGATCATTCTCAACTGAATGGAAAACTGTCTGCTTTATGTGTTTTAACTGATGTATTTAATCAGAATGTAATGATGTTGGACTGACTCTACAGGACACTTGGCCGTCTGTGCTCACTGTGGCCCCTTACGAGAAGTTCTGTGCTCAAGCAGGACTGGGAAATGGAAGAGGATATAACTGACCAGGCAAGGGACAGGAAAGGAGTTTGGAGAACAAATCCTGTGTGGTTTTGTTTGTTGTTAGGGTTTGTTTGTTCATTTGTTTTAAACTGGGTTCTGGTTATTTTCCCGATTGGCCAAACTACTTTTTATGCTCTTCTGTCTTTCAGTTGTTTCATGAGTTTACAAAATACAGCTTAGGAAATCACACTGACTATTGAACAAATGCTAATTGTAGGATGTTGATGGAGTAATCTGTCATTGATAAAAATGTTCTCAAGAAAAATCAGTCCTCCTCTATGTTGTGAAGACCTGTGGGCTTTGGCCTGGTTAGAAGAGGTTAATTGGATAAAAACAAAATTGCTTTTGGTGAATATTCTCACCTGTGTGTTCTGAAACAGCCTTGCCCAGAAAAATTGAAGGGTGAATACAGTTGCTCTTTAAGGTCTGTGGTTAATTGTGCAATTGTGGTTTTGTTCAACTCACAGAAGACAGAAGAACAGAAACTGTAATTTTTAAAGACATAATTTTGGGTGGGTTTGGATAGCACTTGATTTTTTTTTTTTTGTTTGTTTGGTTTTGTTTTTTGTTTTCCACTGAGACAGTGTTTTTCTGACTTTGCAGTATAACTGAGGTCCTGGAAGGAAACCTGAACACGTGAGGCATTCACGTTCAGGTTCCTATCATTTTTCTCTGTATTAAGAATAACATCATGAGAGAAGAAACTTCATCTGTTGTGCTGAACCTATGTACTGAGTCAGGAAATTTTTTGTTGTTTTAAAATGTCAAATACTTCTCAGTTTTATTCATCAACAAAATTGTTGTGTACTGTCTCAAGCTGCATGAGGATTTTTATTGCTTTTGTCCAAGTATAAAAACACAACCAACTGGAGATTCTCCAGAAAATTTCATAGAAGAGCCTGTATGTAATAATTCTGATTTAGAAAGAACTATATTCTTAGCTGCAGGTCAAATACAGGATTCAAGTGTTTTATTTAAATGTAAGTTCATCTTGAAGAGCAGTGGATGGAAAGTGACACCTTCTTGCTCAAAAGACCCGCTTTCTTTTGGTGGTAAAATAATCAGGCTATTGTAATTGCCTGCAAAGCCATCCCACCTGGGCTCTCTTTCTTCTTTCTCTTTTCTTCAAAGATTTCAAGCATGCTTAGAGAGGCTGCTCTCATTTGCATATATAACAGGCAAAATTTAGACAAGTGAAGATTTTCATGAAATGGCTTCTGTTTCCTTCACTGAGAAAATTACATTGATTTCTTTCTCTAAGTGGAAGTCTCTCCCTGCCTGAGTTTGCTATGACTCTACCCCTGACTGAGCACTGACAGAAGTGAATGTTGTCTTCCTAGTCCTTGCAATTCAAACCTCTCCCCAACCCCTTGCATGTGAGACCCCCCCCCACACTTTCCCTCTCTGCTTACTGCATATGTGCTCTTATTCCTTTGAAAATTAGAATATGACCTTTTTGAAGTGCTTAGTGATAAATGAGTTGAAAGCCAAAGGTGCTGCTTCATTAGTCCTGACTTTAATAATCCTAGCCTTGTGTGATGGGTCACAGTTGCTTCTGCTGAGTAATTTCTAGGCAGACAGTGTATTTCCTCATCTCAGAGCTGTTTTAAGAAGAAAATGGCAAAAGTTTGCCATGAAATAGGTAGAGGAGAATCCTACACTGATGTCAAATTGGGAAATTAAAATGTATTTTCAAATCATAAGCTTTACATATACAGTTTATTTAGTAAATCATGTTCTTTCTCACACACATTTCATATGCAAAGTGAAAAGAGCAAAAAAGAAAAGTTAACTAATATTGAAAAGGCTGTAAAGGCAGTAACAAATAACGTTTAGAACACCTGCTGTTTTGGAAAGCTTCTCCACTTGCTGCTACATGAATAAGGGCAAAGACGATGATAAAAACCTTTCTTTGCCTCCGAACTCCTCATGCTCCTCAGCTGTGGTCACAGTTTTAGTACTAACAAATGTTAAAATGTTCATATATCAGGCCTACCATTAGATATGTGCAGCTGACTACTTGCACAGTCAATCATTTCTGTGGAAATCAACTGGCGGCAAATTGTATTTTCAAAACCGGCTCCCTTTCTTTTTCATTTGCTCCAGACAGAAGGTAATGCCTTTTCACATTTTGTATAAAGGGAATATCTGCCCCAGAATGGAGATTGGATTGCCAGCAGATTATTTTTACAGCAGAAATTGATTTCTTGATGTGAAAGTGTTTGTGGCTAAGAGCACAAACAATGTCCTGAGAAGGGTATGTGAAAAGCTAGGCTTAAATTGTAACAAGGAAACCTTTGGGTCAGAGTCAGAGCCAGACTTGCAAGTGATATTGTGGTGGTGACACTCCAGAAGTGCTGAATGAGAAAGGTGCAGGCATGCCCAAAAGTGTTTCAGGAAGTGTGCAGTATAGGCTAGAAGGACTTCTCTAAGGAATGAGCTGGATAGAGCTGGTCCAGTCTTCCAGCTGGGAGTGAGGAGAATATCAGTCACTCCCTAATTGTCCGTGAAGCAAGGCTTGCTTTCTTAATTCCCCTCCTCCAAGAAAGAATGAGCAAACAGGCAGAAGAATTTCTTACGTGTGTTACGTCTTTGGTAAAAATACAGTGATGTAGAAACACAGTTACATTCAGTCTTTCACTAAATGCTGTATTTGAAGGGATCCTTTTGGTTTTTCACGTGCAACAGCAGTTTTAAAATTGCAAGGGAAAACCGTGATGATTCCTCAGGGAAGGTAATCATAAACGTTTGTTGCTCCGGAGTTGCTGGTACCAAATGTACTCCATGGGAGTTCCATACTGGGTAACGTGTCCTCCGTGGAAGAGCAGGGGCTGCTGTCCCAGGTAGCAGCCCTGGTCAGTGTATAATGCTTACAGGGGGGAGGATTCACTGTTATCCCAGGCTGGCCAAGCTGTCCAAAGCAGTGGCTCCAACAGTGGCCTTCTGTAGGCTGTACAGAAGGAAAGAGCAGAGTCAGACTTTTGGCTGGACACTGCCTTTTAACTGCCAGATACCTTCTAAGTTAGAAAGAAGGTTTTGAATTGTTATTTCTGTATTTGCCTCAGACAACAACTTTCTGATCACGTTGGCAAAAGGAAAACTGGTGCAGCTATGACAAAAGCTGATTTTAAATGCTTTTCCCGTGATCTGGGTAGTTTCCTCTGGCAAGCCTTTCACATTTAGTAGATACTGTCAAGGCTAATGCTTCTTTTGGTGTCACTCTGTCACTTTGCTAATGCTGGTTCCTTTTCCCAATATTTTTCTCTTTCATCTTTAAAGGGAATAAAAATATGGCACAGGTTCACATTCACTGGAAAAACATTGTCCTTCTCCCTGTGGCACCCTCCCTGCCATGACCCTCCTGCGGTGCCAGGGATAAAGCTGTCAGTGTCCTGTGAGGTAAGGGGGAGCCAAGGAAAAGGTTCTTCCACTGCTGGCAGTGCCATCACCTGGCACAAGGCCTAAACACAGGACATGGTTCAATAACTTTTTTCAGGTGTGTTTTCTCACGAAATTCTTCTGCAGCAAAATAGTAGAAGATGGCATCCAGGCAGCAGTTCAGGTTGGCAAACAGCATAGACACCTGAATGAAGAGGCTGATGCTTTGTTTCAGGCTGCAGTCCCCTATCACACGCTGTCTCACCAGGCACTGCAGGCAGATGGCCAGGTGGACGGGCGTGAAGCATACCAAAAACACCACGAGGTTGATGATAATTACTCGTAAGGAGCCACTGCCTTCTACCTTCTTTTTGGCTTGGCTTTTGTGATTCAGAAGAATCCAGATGTTCTGAGCAGAGCAGAAAACCATCACTGCAAGGGGGATCAAAAATCCAAATATTTCCACGGAAACAATGAGAGGGACACTCCACGCCTCATCTGACATGTTGTGAAAGCACATGAAAGGATCTTTCTTGTGAAACACATACAGTGGGCTGCTGCAAATGCAAGCTACTGCCCAGACAACACAGCAAATCAAGACAGCCCACCTGGGGGATTGGTTAGCTCGACCTTCAAAGGGGTGCCTTATGCAGATGTATCTGTCAACAGTGATGCAGACAATGATGAAGATGCTGACATACGTGTTGACGAAGTAAAGAGCCTGTATGAAGGAGCACAGGAGCCCGGGTGCTTTTGTAACAGAGTAGTACAACTTCAGTGGCAGCGAGAGAAGCAGCAGGACATCCGCAAGTGCCAGATTGATCATGTAAACTGAGGTTTTGGTCTGTTTCTTCCAAAAGCAGCAGAACACGAAGAGGGCCAGGGCATTGAGAACTAGCCCAAGAATGAAGGTGGGGATGGAAATCCCCAGCTGCAGAGTCTTCGCTAAGCTGTCGACGGCTGTAAAATCACATTCCTCGCTGCTGTTGGTCATTTCTCCCCTGAAATGACAGAGAGAGCAGGTTGGAAATGTGTCGGGCTCCTGGTAATGCCTTGACAATCCAGATAAGATACTTCCAAACACAGTTCTGGGCTTATTTGGTTTTGAGCTAGACTCCTGGTCAGCCTTTGGCTATCGTGGGAAGCGAAACCTCACTTCAAGCACCGAGCTTTCTGTTTCCATTTTGAGTGGCTTGATCTCTTATAAAGGAGTCTGATTCTCAATGGCAAGTGGTCAACATCCACTGACTACCGTGCCCTTTAATATAATCCCATTGAGATATTGAAGAGACTGGCCCATTCAAACATACATTTTCAAAAGAGTACTGGCTCTCTCTAGTAACTTGTACATCTGTTGAAACTTCCCTAACACTTACGTTTGTTTCTGTTGCTACACAGAGATTCATTAAATTATGTTTCTATATAAGGCATGTCAATCTGATAGCTGGGATTTTACTCTTATATAGGTGATTCCCTACATCAGTAGCTTTTGCTGATGTGCTTTTACTAAGCCCACATTTACAAGGTATTTTCATTTCATATACTGCTTATATCCAATGCAGTATTTTAAAAGGTCAGATCTTTCATCTAGGTGCAAAATGAGTAAGAGCGTTTTCTCACTTGTGTTTGACTTTCAGCACTGTTTAAATTTGGGGTTTGCAAGTACTTTAGATTTTAACTGATTATCTCAGATAATCCAGCAAAAATTAGCAAATGCAAGGCATGACATCTTCATAATACAGTTTTTAAGAAAGTATAATTTGTGTGGGATTAAGTGTTATTGCTGTTCTTAAAAATATACAAATGTTTTAACAAACTAAACCTTAAAAGTGCTTATTTATAACCTCTCTAAATAAAAATCAGCAAAAATCCTAATAAAGCAGAAGAAATTGATAGTCAAAGTTCCCAGACCAGCTCAGCCAATCAAGTAGCTCAAAAAAAAAATAAAAATTTAGGAGTAAGTGAAGATGTTTTAAGAAGAATTTGATCAAGAGGAGAATCTCTGCTTTGGAGGACAAAAAGTGACAGGTAGCTCTTAAGCAATGCCAAATGGAGCTGAACTTTGATAGAGAAACCAAAAACCAAATAGTCAAAGATTTTTTGTCTGCATGGCCAAAACAAAAAAAATTACAAAGCAGAGAGACAGAGAGATGGAGAACAAGTAGTTCTACTAAACATTAAATGAGGAGATAGCATTGTGTTTTGCCAAGTGTAATACCACTACTTTTCATAGGAATGCTGATATTGTGCTGGAGGTCAGAGGTGAGATGACTTGGGGGAATCAGTGAGTGACAATGGAAATTGCTGTGTCTGAACACAGAATGCACTCAAGGCTTGACATGCTCATATTAGTGAAAAGGTTTATTCCCAGCTCACACTACAGAAAGAATAGGCAGATAATGCTGACAGTTCAACTCAGTAATTTTTATGAAGTATGTATGTTATTAGTGTAGCTGGAAAAGGATTAATCTAGTTCATCTGTTGAAGGCAAGAGTGTCAAATGTGATTAAAGCCATTCTATAACTGTTGAGTCTAAGCTTCACACAGATTTTTAAAGAAAACTTCTACATAAGTCTCTGATAGTTCTTACCAGACCATTATCTTCTTTGATGAAATGTCTGCTTTTTCAAATAAGGGAAAGGCTGAAGATTTTAGGCACTTGCATTTCAGCAAAGTACTAGAAACAACTAAATAGCATTAGAAAAAACAGGGGTTAGAACAAGGGATGTTAAGCAGGTGGTGAAATTGTTACATGAAAGCTGATGAGGACTACAAACAGAGTGGCTGGAGGTTCCTGAGGGGATGCACAAGTTCACTGAGACTATTCCTTGGCCGTGTTTCCCACAGTGACCCCGTTGGGGAGTGAGGGTGACCTGTGGGGAGATGCTGTTGGTCAGGGCCAGGTACAACAGCCACCTGCAGAGAACTGGACTGAGCCTCGTGAGTTGGGCTGTCCCAGCTCTGGGAACTTAGGCAACAGCAAAAGGAAATCTGGATGCTATCAGTGGATTTATCTGCCAGAAACAGAGAACGAAAAGAAAACATTGGTTTGGTCATCAAGATGAGGCTGAATCGGTCCCTTTGAGCCAGCAATGTGTGGCAGTCACTTAGAAAATCACGTTTGGTGTTGCATGACAGGTGACAAAAATTACACTAACCCTGGAGCTGCACTGGTGCCATGTGTACAGGGATTATTGTGGGCAGGTGCTGCTGTCACTGGAGGGCAGGACAGGGAAGGGGACATAGGAAAATTGTGCTGTTGTGTGAGCATGGGTGTCCTGTGATCAAGAGTGTACATCTGGCTGGGGAAAATCGGATTACATTAAACACTTCATGGAAGTGACAAAACTTGTTAATCCAGCACTTCATGTACTAAGTAAATACATCAGAAAATTGTGCATGATGTCTCTTACGAGTCTGACATTTGGTTCTACTTTTATCAAATTTCCAGCTCAGTTTGTGCTTTTCCTTTTGAATTCATTAGTACCAAAGTATGCATAGCATTACTCCAAAAAATGATTGATTTAAAGAAAATGTCAACCAGCCTTTAAATTGGTAATTTCAAGTACTCTAATGGAGTGTCTGATTGTCAAAACCATGATGTTTTTTATCATTTTACCCTCTCAAATTCAAATTTCATGTCTTGAGTAATCCAAAGGAACCGTTTGCAATCAGACCGGACTAAGCAATATTTTTGCTTGAAGTTATTTAAAGTTTCATTTTCATCGACAAATAACCTTGCAGTCATTTAATAAGCATCATCCTCACTGTGTTATCCAAATTATTAACAAAAGTACTGATACTCATCCTGAAAGATACTGAACTGTACCAGACATCTTTTCTGTATGGCAGACACTGATTAGTATCTCAGTTGGTACTCACTAATCATACAGGGGTTTCATACAGATCATGTTTCCTTTGTCTGCCTATGAGAATTTCTGTAGAGATAGTGTGTGAAGCTTGTTTCCTCCTCCTACACCCCATCCCCCAGTGCTGCCAGTTTGTCACAGAGGAAGTCAAATTACTTCTATTTCAGTCATTCTCAGATTAATCTGTGCAGATTTTTACTTACCACTTCTGTGTGCTTGCAAACAGATTCTGTGGCGGGTGATTCCAATGTTTTTTCAAATATTAAAGCCAGGTTTAGTGACTCTGCCTTTTCCCAACTCCTCCCTTTCCACCTTCTTAAGAAACAGGTACCATGGTTGCTCTTTTTCAGTCTTCAGGGGAAAATTTCCCTGTCCTCCACGAGTTTTCTGAAGGAATCTGCTGTGGCTTTAGGATTATTTCAGGCAACTTCTAGAAGCCAAAAGATAACATAAGAACCTGTAATTTAACAGTACTTGAGAGAGCGTGCCTAGGCTGGTTCAGCCTCTGTGTCATTGCTGCACCGTTTGTTCTCAGTTTCTCCTGCTGAGGATTTTCCACTTCCTATGGACTAGTTAAAAGTTAGTTGGGTTTACCCATAGCAGGAGCTCGTGGTTTAGTGAGCAGGAAAGGTGTGCTGGCCTAGGAGACGAACAGCAAGGTTTTACAGTGTTTGCTTCACCAGGTTTTTTACAGCACAGCGCAATCCATGGATGGTTTCCTCCTTGTAGCTTGGATCCGAGTTCATCTGCTCTAGCTGGGATTCACACAAATCTGTGTGGGAGCACAGACTGGGGATGGCAGATTAAGAGTATTCTTACCCATGAAAGCTTCATTAGCAAAAACATCTCTTGTTTACATCTATTTTCTAGAATGTTATTCATGTTAGATATAAGTTATTCTCTTGTTGGATGCGCTAGAAAAGAATAAGATGTCTGAGTGCAATGATGAGCAGCAGGTCCCACACCTGCCATATATTTCAACTGCAGCTGGATAATTTCTTGCCATTTTTTTTCCAAATATTTTGATTGCAACAGAATAGATTTATTACTAGAGCAGATATTTTTCTTCTCTTCGTTAAGCAAGACTAGATGTTTGATCTTATTGTTTGACTTTGTAAGTAATAATCACCTAACTAGCTTAAAAATAGTGTCTACAATCAACGCTGCTTTTAAATTATTGGAAAAATAAAAGTTAATAATTAAAATATGAATTACTTTACCTGAACCCCAGCAAGCAGAGCAGCAGCATTGCTTCAGTCCAGGTTGTTCTATAGAGCACAAGAGCATCTGCTTACAGACCATGCCTTACAAATATTCTTCTAAGTGGCATAACCAACCACATCCTTCTTTTCTTTTCTTCTCTTTTTTTTTTTTTTTTTTTTTTCCTGTTTTAAAAAGCCCTCTGTGCATATTTATATAGACAAGAGAAGGTGGGAAAAGTGTAAAGATTTGAATCCTCAGCTATTTCCAACCAGTAGTCAAATTAGGGTAGGGAGCAGTTTGTCTCTGAAGTCAGGGGTTTCGGCCCAGTCTTTACCTGGTGTGATGCAGCTGACAGCTTTTATGAGCTTGTGGCAGCTACCTCCAAAATTCCAATTATTCCTTGAGCTGGAGGGGAGATGGCAGAGTGGAAAGCTGTAGGATAGGTTGTAATAAAAATAGTGTTTCTTCCCCCAGTTTCTGCTCCATTTGCATACTGGAGATCAGTAGTTTAGCACTCAGAGGCATCTGAAAGATACAGCCACTGATACACACGCAGCTGTTTAACTATTTAAAGGGCATGTGCCAGTTTTAGCCAGTTCAGGTGTGCAAGCCATTACTGTAAGTTGGCAAACAAATGTTCATCCGTGAGAGGAGTGAGGTATATGGAGCACTAAACGAGTGCCTTGTGTGTCAGTCACGTAGCAACCAAAACACACTTTTCTTTGAATGAGTTCTCAAGGCTTTCCCATTAATAAGTTTCTTCCCCTGCTCTGGGAGGAGTGTGCAATGTCCATCTTTTGGAAAGCTAATTGTGCTTGCAGAGCCTGAACGGGAATATGGGGACACTCACTCACCGCTGTGTTCAGGAGAGAGAGGACAAGGGTGGGACCTAAAGCTGCTCCTCAGGTCCTGCTCAGCTGTG